GAGGTGTTCCTGGAAATTACATTTGATGAAAAACTGTTGAGGCTATGACCCCATTTACTACTGAGATCTATTAGAAAAACTTTTCTGGATGCAACTGAGTGATCTAATCAACTGGAGGCGCCACGCCACCCACCGTACATGCCTCGCTCCATGGGATTATTACTAACTATGAAGAAAATGCAGGTGCGGAGGTGATCCCATTGTCTCATCGGAGTTTCTTACAGCCATGTCAGTGCCGTGAGCGTGGAAAGGCTGTCAGGTAGGGAGCCACTAAGAGCGTTGGAAGACAAAGCTCTATATGGTGTGTGTTAAATTAAAAGAGGAGCGGAGTTGAGAATAGTGGGCACAGTTGTGCGTGGTGCGAGCTTTCGGGCAACTATAAAACGAAAATCACACAAAAACAATCTTTGCTGCTACCATAGGAAGGAACACAGAGCACATGGCGCTGATTCAGCAGGCAACGGATTCAAAGAAAGCCTTCTTGACGTGAAAGCCCATTCCATCCTGAAGGTCTCACCTGTGACGCTTCAGGCATGATTCAAAGAAAGGTAGAAAGGCATGCCTGGAGGTAGAACGGCAGAAAGGCATGCCTGGAGGTAGAAAGGTAGAATGGCATGCCTGGAGGTAGAAAGGTAGAAAGGCATGCCTGGAGGTAGAACGGTAGAAAGGCATGCCTGGAGGTAGAACGGTAGAAAGGCATGCCTGGAGGTAGAACGGTAGAAAGGCATGCCTGGAGGTAGAACGGTAGAAAGGCATGCACTCACATCTCGGTAATCATGCCTGAAGCGTCACAGCTGAGACCTTCAGCCGAGTCACAGTCGGATTTCTGGGTCCACCCTAAGAACGTCGTCCCCCAAGCCTCGTGGCAGTCCTGGAGAAACACCGCTGCCAGAAGGGAACACGAGAGGAGAGCAGAAAGGAAGAGCCAGAAGGTGAGGGGCACCAGAAGGTGAGGGGCACCACCAGAAGGAGAACCAGGTACGCATGAGCCTGCAATGCACCTAATGCCTGCCTAACGTACCTGGAATGCACAACACTACGCCGACATGTAGTAGTTGCACTGACCGACGACCATGGAACCATGGCGCGGAATCATTGATAACTTAAGGCTTGGCTCCAGGGCGAGGCGAGAGGCAGGCAGCAGTCTCACTCACCTTGCATGGCCTTGCGAGGCGAGTGGCAGGCGGCAGTCTCACCTTGCGTGGCCTTGAACGGCGCGGCGTTGACCATCCCGAAGAGTGCAGTGGCCAGCATAACGAGGACGGCGAGCCAGAGCCAGAGCCCTAAGAGCGTCAGCGTGCGCTGCGGAACCCTCCGCCGCTCCATCTTCGCCGTCGCAAGAGCAGCAGACTGCATACGATATACTCAGAGGTTTACGGCTTCAAGTTCCGATGCTTCCCAGAAAATCTGGGGGAGTGGCTCGGGTTCCGATGATGTTTTTTTTTTTCCCCAGAAAACGACTGTATGCGCGACAAAGAGTTAGCTTGTCTGGCTTATCTCGGCCGGGGAGTGGCTGTTGGCACTACCAGGTCTAGTGTTCCAACAGCGTGGTTGTGCTTCGCCAGGTCTAGTGCTTCGACAGAAGCTCATATGCACCGCCGGAGATGTGCGAGAAATGTGTGCATTGCAGCAGGGAAGATGGGCTAGGAGACCGGGAAACCACAGGCGAGGGCTACAGCGGATGTAGTGTAGGCTCCTCCCACCCACCGGATCGAATCCATGCAGCACCGCACCGCACCCATAAGGGATGGGCATGGGCATTGAGAATGCACGGTCTGCACCGCACCACAGCCCCTGCCGCAACGGCTCCCCTCACCAACGAACACGTCATTTCGGCTTTCCGATCCGAACCTCTCCGCGACTCACTAGGGCTGAATTCCGTGCCTTGGGTTGTCCTTGCCGAGCCTGCGGACACGGAATTGAGCCCCCCGTGCGGAAATGATGCTGGAAGCCCTAGGAACCATGGTCTGAAAGTTCGCTAGCCTGTCAGCCAGCCGTGCGGCGCCGACCAATAGACTGGAAGTCTTTCCCGACGCTGTACTGAGACCATTTTTTTAGGCGCCTAAAAAAAAAGTCTTTCCCCATGCTAAACTGACGCAGCGGCGGTGTTGATGCGAAGATGGAATGGGACTGGCTGCTGACGGAACGCCTGTACTAGTACTGTCAGCCTGTAGTGTCAGCCTGTAGTGTCAGCCTGTAGTGTCAGCCTGTAGTGTCAGCCTGTAGATCTGAAGATCACGATGATTACGGCGACAGCCGCGACAGCCGCGACAGACCACGCAACTGCCCCCGCCATGGCAATTTTGGCAATAGGTGCATAGCGGATACAGGAGGGGTGTGCGCTGATGATTGCCAGCGGGTGAGTCAGCAGGTTTTGGCGATCATCATCTGCCACCATTTGCTGACTCCGCAGGGAGGGGGTGTGACGGAGTCAGTATAGTCTGGAAGTACGTGGCTGAGTCAGTGGTCTGGTCACTGAAGCCCTAATCGGCTGAACAGTTTTCCCCGATCTTGTCGCCAACCAGAAGGGAGGATGGATATAGCTAGCCTAGGAACACACGGTCGTGGCTCGGCAGAGCTAGGCATGCAAGAGCAAGGTGGGCAACAATGCATGTTGCTCGTCAGGAGACCACATTTTGTGTAAGGAATTCCGATTCCTTACAGGGACTCGCCACAGCGAGTACCGCGAACAGTGCGGGTCCGCAGGCTCGGCCCTGGTTTATCGCGCCAAACCAGCCCTTGACGACCTTTTCGGCCCCAGCCTGACCCCGAGTCGCTCCGAACCCGTTTTGACCCTGTCACCCTCGGGACTACCTAGCCCTCGACTGGTCCAACCCTCGACATTTCGACCTGGTCAACTCGCACTATATAAGCCCTAGGTCTCATTATTCAGGATGATTCTGTAATCACGTTTCCCTTATAGTATTCTGCACTATACTCTGAGTTATAATTCATAACAGCTGCTATCAGAGCCCCGATTCTGCCCATCTAGTTTCCGATAGGGGAGCAGACCCTATCGGGGAAGGGGGCGGAAGGATGCTGATGGCGAGCGCACGTCGAGGAAATTAATTGCGCGGGCGTTGCCGATGCCGTCAGATCTTGTCCGATGGACGGCTGGGATTGGCCGGTCCTCGAAAGAGTAGACGGAATTATTCCCCGTCGAAAGAGTGGACGACGCTTTCGCCGTGTTTTTCGGGTATGTTTGTTAGTGTTTCGGAATTTTCGGGAGTTTCAAGCGAAGTGTTCGGATTGGCTTCCGAAAATAGCGAGGAGTCGTCGGGCGGCCGGGAGATGGTTGTCGCGAGGAGACAAGTGCACAGGAGTCCTCAGGCGGCCGGGAGATGGTCTTCAGGAACGCGCGGGGTGGCGAAAATGGCGGGACGCACCGCGATGGGCGTTTGTCGTGCCATGTAGCTACATGGTGAAATGCAGTTGCGTCGCTGGCGTCGGCGTTTCCGGCAGGCTAGTTGCAGGCGATGGACGGGACTTCGACACTATTTCGGCAATGGGCGGATCCGACAATTTCGGAACGACATGATCGCATGAAGTTATGTGGGTGTGCAGTTGTGTGGGAGCAGCTGGGATTAAAGATCTCGGCGCTATACACTACGACGGCCATCTGGAGGTGATGACGCTGTGCTGGAGTGAGTGTACTCAGCGAGGGCGACTTCCCTCGTAGGGAGACGTTTTTCGTGGACCAGCGATTCATACCCCCACGATCAACGGAAACGGAGGCCACCACCCCCGGGTGTGTATTAAGTGTTTTCCACCGGTCGCCGAATGCGTTACCTGTCAGGAGCTAAGCAGTGGGAGAAGAACGACGGGACTACTAGAGCAGATGGGTTAGCGGCGTTCGGGCTGCTACTCGCTAAGCTACGTCGCCCGGAAATCACCATTCCCACCAGGTAGCAGTGTCGACTTGTTCATCGACGGCTCCTGGATGAATAAGGGGGGTGAACCTGCAAACTACACTGTGCTGATGGAGTGTCCCTGAAGAAGAAAACGAAAAAAAAAAAAAAAAAAAAAAAAAAAAAAAAAAAAAAAAAAAAGGGGGGGGGGGGGGGGGGGGAGTTACTGTTGCAGTGGAACTGAGGGAGTTTACCTGGTGCGGCAGGAGGAGGTTCCGACTTTTGCAGGTGTAGTTTGACGAGTTTCCGACGGAGGCGGGAGCGGTCCAGCGGTCAGTAGGCGAGCTCGTTAAAGCTCCTCTGACTAGAAGCGTGCGCACTCCTATCTCTGCGGATTCTCCTAGTTAGTTAAGCAGCAGCGAAGCGGTTTTGGGTAACCTGCAGCAGCCGCGAGATGGGTGAACGTCTGCACGGCCAGCTGGACAGGGGTACCAGAGTAGTTTAGTGTTGGGTAATAGCTGGGCGGAGATCGACGGCGTATGATGCGCATTGACCCTGATCGACCGCCAAAACATCATGCCGAGGCGGTGGACTCTGGTAAACCCTAAGATAAAGGGTTCAGTTCATGCGTTTAGCTGGTGGAGAAACCGTTGGGGCCCTGCTAAAGGACGCCGTGTCGCCTGGGAATTTCTACGGATAGTTGTGAAGCGGATTTACGGTATCCACTAAGTACTGCGTGGTTCCGACATTTTCGGAGAGTTTGTGCAGCGGTTCGAGCGTTTACAGCTAGAGTTGTGCCCGCTATCTTCAGGGGTACGAGAGACATCGACCGACATTTGCGGAGTGTTTTTGTTATATGGAGCAGAAAGGGAGCAGCGGCAGTTTCGGTTCTTCCCGAACTTTTCGGCATGTACGGACGCGTGCTCTTGCATGTGACTCGAACGACCTCGCATTTGACGAGCGGGTCCTTCATATTCATTGACCATCATGATATTCGCCCGTCATCATTTCAAGAAATTCAGCTGCCAGACACCATCATCAATCGACCACTCGACGGTTTCACTGTTCATTGTCTTCCACTGGAGTATTTACCCTTGCCGTTTGGTCATCAGAAGAATTCGACCATCTTCGACGGCATCGATTAAAAGCGATCGTTTCGACGCTTTCTGACCATCGATTTCAGTTCGACCTCAAGACCTCGTCAGGCCGGCGTAATCATTACGCTCGTCACAAAGCTGAAGACTTCACTTCGGGGATTAAATTAGATAAAAGGTTCGACCTCGATAAAGGGTGGACTTTCCTTTAGAAGGTGGGAGAGTGTAAGGAATTCCGATTCCTTACAGGGACTCGCCACAGCAAGTACCGCGAACAGTGTGGGTCCGCAGGCTCGGCCCTGGTTTATCACGCCAAACCAGCCCTTGACGATCTTTTCGGCCCCAACCTGACCCCGAGTCGCCCCGAACCGGTTTTGACCCTGTCACCCTCGGGACTATCTAGCCCTCGACTGGTCCAACCCTCGACATTTCGACCTGGTCAACTCGCACTATATAAGCCCTAGGTCTCATTATTCAGGATGATTCTGTAATCACGTTCCCTTATAGTATTCTGCGCTATACTCTGAGTTATAATTCATAACATTTTGGACCGCGATTTGAATTTCGTGGCAGAACTCTGCGGGAACCCGTTACAGCAGTGTACGCCTTACTGACTAAACCCCGTGATAAGGAAATACCGTTTCCTTACCCTCCCCCCTCCAATGTACGGTCTTAGCTAAGTCCGCCCACGTCGCGCACATTGCATGACTAGAGGTAGACTCGTAACACCGGGTAATTCTCGATCAGTGCCAAGGGCACCCAACTGTTTTCTAGGGCCGTCCGGTCCTTCCAAGATATAGAAACTCGATCGGGCGAGCCCCTCGGGGATCCTTGATCCGATGGCTGAGCATCTTCGCAGGTTCAACAGTAGGCTTGGCGAGCGGTTGGATGTTCAGATTTGCTTGGTGACGTGGTAGCTTACTGGTGCGGGCTATGTATGGTCGAAGTAATCGCACGTGGAATGATGGGCTGACGTTCCAGGTGGCTGGTAGCAGTAGATGGGCTGTAACGGAAGATATCATGTGGCTGATGGTAAATGGTCCACAGTAGCGGGGGCGGGGTTTTGGGACTATGGGCAGTCGAAGGTTCTGGGTGTCGAGCAGCACTAAGTCTCCAGCCTAGTAAGTAACTGCTTTTTGATGATCACCGTTGCGTTTAGAAATTACATTCACGCAATTAATGGTTTCGGCTGCTAGCTCCCGGGCATTCTATAGTATTTCGGCGAACTGTTGGGCTCGTGGTACTGGATTTTTCATGTTGGGCATGATCGGTACTGTAGGGTTCTGCTCGCAGTTCATGTTAAATGGTGACTGTCGTGTAGTGGCTGACGGGACGTTGTTATACGCGAACTCAATCAGTGGCAGTTGCTTACCCCAGTCGGCCACGTCATCGCAAGTGGCGCGAATCAGCTGCTCCATCGTCTGATTGGCCCGTTCGGTCTGTCCATCAGTCTCGGGATGGTAGGCGAAGGAGAACTGTAGGCGTGTGCCAAAATGTTCCCAGAGGTTGCGCCCAAAATTCTGTTGAATTTCGTGTTACGATCCGAAATGATGGCGAATGGGATTCGTGGAGGCGAACGACGGTTGAGATGAAGAGGCGGGTTGTTTCTTCGGCTGAGATGCTTTTCTTGTAGGCGGCGAAGTGGGCCATTTTCGTCAGCTTATCAACGACGAAAAATTTCGTGTCATTACGACCGTCTTTGGCAGGCAATCCCGTGACGAAATCCATCGTCACTTGCTGTTACGCGCGCTCGGGCGGCGGAATCGGCTGCAACTGTCCAGCTGGCTTCTACTTCGATGATTTGATGGTTTGGCAGGTTCTATACGAAACCACATGCCGCTGCACGTCCCCTTGCATGTCGGGCCAGAAATAGTATCTGGTCAACTACTGCCACGTTTTTTCCATTACGAAGTGCCCCGAAACGGTGCTGTCGTGAGCTTCTTGTAAAAGTAATTCTTGAAGTAAACTGTACTCTGGTACCCAAATGTGGTCACTCTCTGTCTTTACGTAATAGACTCCCTTAGCCGTTGCGAGCTATTCATGTGCACCCGACGTAAAGAATCTGTCCGTCTGGTACCCATGGATAAATAGGCCTGTTAATAGTGGGGAAGTTTGGGCGAGGATTATGGAGTTGAGATGGGCGGATGGGCGAGAAAGGGGGTCTGCAATGCTGGATGCCCCTTTCTTGTAGGTGACCGTGTAATGGAAGTTGGACTGCATAAATTCCAACCACCGAATCTGTCGTGGGTTGAATTGTGGCTGTGCGCGGATGTACTGTAGACTTCAGTGGTCTGTCCGTACTGTTACGTCCGCGCCCATCAGGTAGCCGTCATCCCGTTGTTGGTTACCTCACATCTTTGCCCAACACTCATGCTCAATCCCCCCTCTACATCACTGCCAACGTGAACACGTCCACGCAGGGTTCCACCAGGAATAGTATGTGCGCGGCTGCGCATGACTCGGTCGGCGCTGATTGGCCGAGTTGGGGCGAAAATTTGTGAAGCGGGGAAATCCCACTCACCAAAATTCGCAGCCAACCCGATATTGACGACGGTGGG